GTAGCCCCAGCTGTCCTGGAACTCACTATGTAAACCAGGCTGGCCTCGAACGCACAAAGATCTGCCTGCTTCTGCCTCCCAAGTGCCGGGATTAAAGGTGTGTGCCACCATGCCCGGCTTGGTAAACCTTTTTCTTCAAAGATCTAGGCTGAAAATATTTTAGACTCTCTAGGTTCTGAGGATAATTGAAGTGTGTAGGTACTGGGGATCATGGTGTACCTGTGTAGGGTCTGCAGGGTTGCTCAGCGGTAGAAAGCATGCTTAGCATATCTGAGAACCTGAATTTTCCCTAGGCACCCCAAAATGGATGAAAGAAGTGAATGGCACATACCCATTAAGAAATGTAAAACTGGGGCTGGAGAAATGGCTCAGCGGTCAAGAACATTGGTTGTGCTGCCCACATGGCAGCTAACAACTGTCCGTAATTCCAGTTCCAGGGGATCCAACGATCTCTTCTGTCCTCTGTGGGTATTGTACAACATGGGTGTGCTTACACGCAAGTAATACACACATGCACATAAAATTTAAAAATTAAAAAAAAAAAGAAATATAAAACCATTCTTGGCTGTGGGCCATTCAAAAATAGTCAATGGCCATATCTTTGCCAGTGATACTTTCTGTTCTTTCTTATAGCCCCCATGGCTGGAACTTACGGTGTGATGAGTGATGATGGTTCTATTGATTACACTGTTCATGAAGCCTGGAACGAAGCCACCAATGTTTACTTGATTGTGATCCTTGTTAGCTTTGGTCTCTTCATGTATGCCAAGAGGTAAATTTGTAGATAAGGGTAGATTAGAAACTGATCATTTAAGAGTGTTACAGAGATGTGGGGTTTTTGTTGTTTGTTTCTTTTAGTTTGCTTTGTTTTAGTTGAATTAAATGCATAGAAATAATTTCTTCATAAATTTTGTTCCTGCTCTGAAAGCTACTGTCTACTTTGGCACTGGTGACTGAGGTTTGGCTTTGAAAATCACATATCCAGCTCTAGGTAACAGGGCTATCTGCTCTAAACTTAAAGTATTATCACTTTTTTTTTTTTTTTTTTTTTTTTGAGACAGGGTTCTCTGTAGCCCCAGCTGGTCTAGAACTCACTATGTAGACCAGGCTGGCCTCAGTCTTATAAAGAACTGTCTGCCTGCCTCTGCTTCCCAAGTGCTGGGATTAAAGGCTCAAGTGATCGCTTCTAATGTAGCCTAATTTTATCATCAGCTTTGATTCATTGTCACCCTAAAAGGAACACAGTTTAAAATATTTTTGATCCAAGTCCCTGAAATGAAAAATACACATGCCCCTTATGTATTCAGCAAATCTCTTTATCCCATTAACTTTTCCTTTGATTCTTATGCTTGATGCTCTTTTGTGATAACCTCTTTGTTCTTTATAAAACTGTCCGTTCCTTAAGAACAAGGAGCTTGTCTTTTATCTTTGTTTTGTTTTAGTGATATACCACATGGTCCAAATAAACATTTTCCTGCCTTAATTTTTAGTAGAGTGTAATTTATTTCCCCTTCCACCCTTGCTGGCTTTCCCTAAGTGCAGCAAAATAATAATAATAATGGGAAGGGTGTATTTTAAAGAGGAAAAGCAGTATTAATTGGATTGAATTGCTTTTGCTTATTGGCATAGGCTTCAGGGCATTCTCTACCAAGGTTCCATAAAAGTTATTAAATGGTTCATAATAATTAATACTCCAGAAATAATTTCTCTTTGACCTGGGATACTTCTCAGCTACTTGTGCTTGCCCTTTCTGGCCATGTGGCTCTTTGTAATGGCTGGACTGCTGGCTACTTGGAGTCCAGGTGGAGGGTAGCAGTAGGTGCCAATGTGTCATCACTGATCCCTTTGCATGTAACAGCTTTTCTCTAAAAAACGCTGCTGCCTCCTTCCCACTTTTCTTTAAAAGTAGAGACATACTCCTCTTATTTTTTATTTTTTAAGTTAACTAATTTATTTATTTTATGTGTATGAGTGTTTTGCCTGCATGTATGTAAGTGCACTCATGTCATTCATTGCCCACAGAGGCCAGAAGAGGGTGTTGGATCCCCTGGAACTGGAGTTTTGGACAGCCGTTAGCTGTCGTGCGGGTGCTGGGAATTAAACCCGGACCCTCTAGAGGAACAGCCAGTGCTCTTCGCTGAGCTATCTCTTCAGCCCCCTGCTCTTTTTTTTTTTTTTTTTTTTTTTAAAGATATCCCCACTAAAACCATTTCATTATATTTAAAACCCATTTTTATTCTTGAGTTTCCTAAATTAAGGTCTGCTCTACCCCAGTAATTTATTTTTATTTGGATGATGTGAAAAGGAGGAAAAATTATGTGCTTTCTTATTTGTATAGTATATATATAAAATATTTGGTTTTTCTAGGAGTTCAGGAGAGTTACAATGAAGGGACCTCATTTTATTATATTGTTTAGCATATAATGTGTTTAACATTTATTTTCCTTTACAGTTCCATAGGTGTACATAAAGAGCCTCATACTTTATTGAAAAATAGAGTATTTGAGCCAAGGAAGTATATCACAAAAAGAAAGTAGGAAATAAGATGAACTTGCTATATTTAATATTTAAAAAAATAATTTTTGAGAATTTCATACAGGGATATAAGTGTATAAGGTATTTTGATCAAATCCATGCCCACTCTTTCCCCTCCGTCATGAGATGACTGTTACAGTCATAAAAGCATTAAAACAAATCTTCATTCATTTGTGTTATAGGAATAAAAGGAAAATTATGAGGATATTTAACCTGCCACCTCCAGAAGAAACTTTGTCAGAGCCCAGTTTTTATGACACAATGAACAAAATTCGTTTAAGACAACAATTGGAAACATATTCCATTTGTAAGTATATTCTGCCCAAAGCTATATACATAACATGTTTAATCCCAGCACTTGGGAGGCAGAGGCAGGTGGATTTCTGTGAGTTCAAGGCCAGTCTGGTCTATATAGAGAGTGGCAGGCCAGCTGGGGCTACAAGGAGACCCTTTCTCAAAAAGACAAAAGAACCTGGAAAGATGATTCAGTAATTAAGAGCACTGGCTGCTCTTGCAGGGGACCCAGGTGTGATTCCCACCACACATGGCTGCTAACAACTCTCTGTAACTTCAGTACCAGGGGAATCCAAAGCCCTCTTCTGACCTCTGCAGCACTGCACGACACGGGTGAACTCACTTACATGCAGGCAATACACTCACACACATAAAATGAAAATAATAAGTAAAATATTTTTAAAAATTCTTTGTAAAAACTTAGACCTTTTTCAGATGTAGTTAGGCAGATTTATCAGATTCATTGCTTGTATGAGGCCTTTCTAAGACCCTGATATTAGGAATAAGTTGGGGAGAGTCACAAAGAAAAAAAGAGACTACCATTCCAATTAAGGTGTCTTGACAAGGTAAAACTTTACTTCTGATCCCAGTGTGTACAGCTTAGAGAGGAGTCAGGGAGAGAGAGAGAGAAACATAACAGATACGTGACAGGCTTTTATCCTAGCTCAAAATTATTGTGTCTTTTCCCCATTGGCTGGGGTCAGACCTCACAGTTTTTCTGCAGTTGGCTACTTTTAAAAGAATCATGCAAAGGAAATGAAGAAGGGGAGTTGGCTCAAAGGGGGAATGGCTCAGCTGCCCAGACCACCAGTCAGGTCTGGGAATGCATTGGTACCTTTGGGTAAACAAGTTTTAGGGGGTGGGAAGAATTAATCGATTTGAGCTCCTTGTCATAAACAAAGGTTTTACAATATTTGACAGAAAATATTTCTTACACTTTAATCGTATTTTTAAAAATTTGCAGAAATTGAGATTATAATCACCAATTAATACCTCCATCTCTTCTCCTAATTTTTCCTCTTTTGTACTCCCCATCAGTTGGAATGGCATCAGAGTGGTCAAATGACTGAACACCAGAGTGGTGTAGGAATGGCTTCCAGGGTATTGGACATCAGGGTAGAAGGCCAGAAGTTATATCTGAACAGTTGTAATACATCCTATGGTACTGATCATTGCAAGTATGAGTGTAGGAAAGAAGAAACCAAGTTTAAAACATACGGGGCAAGGATCTACTGTACATTTAAGCCTTTTATCCTGTCTTTTACAAGACTGAGATTTGGTTTCCATAGTGCATTAAATAGGAGAAGCAAGATGGATACCACTTTGGCTGGTTAATCTCAATTCTCTGGGTGTATCTTGAGGGATTGTCTGGATTAGGTTAATTGAGGTGGAAAGATTTGCCCTAGAAGTAGGCAACACCATTCCATGGCCTGAGGTTCTGGGCAGAAAAAGCTGAAAAGCTACAGGCTGAGTAGGAGCATCCATCTGTTTCTTGACTGCCGATACCATGTGTCCAGCTGCTTCCCACTCCTGCCACCATGTCTTCCCTGCCATGATGGACTGTATCCTCAAACTGCAAGCCAAAATGAACCCTTCCTTTGTTAGTTATTTGTCATAGCAAGGAGGAACTAATAAACTGTTGTAAAATCAAACGAAACATTCCTTCTATTATCTACACTATAAATGCTCCATATGATTAGGCAGGTATGGAGAGGCATGGGGAGATACACATCAACTTATTGAGCTCATTTGTTTTGATGATTGCTGTTTGGGGTTTAAAGAAAATAGACCATATGATTATTGGTTTATGCAAGATGGTAAATATTGTGGTTTTTTTTTCTTTTATTTTCTAATTTTAGTTTTTAAAAATGTATTCCTTGAGAATTTCATACATGTGTCCAATGAAATATGATCATATTGTGAAAAACAATGATCCTCAGTTCATAAGAATACTGGAAACTCAGTAGTGAAAGTGAGGCAGATTTATTTTGGGTTTTATAGATGCCAGATGTCAGCTTGGACAAAAGATAAAATGGCTGGCACACTGATTTACCACAAAATAGTGTTTTTTATATCTCTAATTGTATTTCTCTGCCTTTTTGGTTTTCATTGGCTGAGTTTGTTAGGGAGGTACAATCTTCCCAGTCTCTACTATTGCTCCTTCCCCAGATCTCCCATCCTACTGGTTGAGGACATAGAGCCTATGACTATTCTGGGGCTCAAGAGTCCCTCATCTTTTGAGACATAGGTTCAGTGAGATAGCAGGCTGCTTGTAACTTTTCAACCCTAAGATGAACCAAGTATGCCTAGACAAGCAGGTACCAGCTGCCAGCTAGAGAAGTGAGGGGCCTAGTGCCTCCTGTTTATTTGTGATTTTCTGATAAGCTCTTAATGCATTTCATACTGGAGATAAATGATCATTATTATTTCCTACAATCCCCTCCTCTTTTTCTTCTGCTCTTATTAGTATTATTTTTAGGTTTATTTTAACTTTTTAAATTGATAGAACATTTTTTATTTTCTTTATCTTAGGACTGATGATCTGATACAGTATCTAAAAGCATTAGGTTATGTTGATGTATTATGGACATTTGTTTGTGGGTTGCTGTTTTAATGAGGTTTTGAGTTAGCTCTCTTCTACAAGGAATAATGTAGCATTCTACTATACTTAATATTTCTACTCTAGTTATGAAGGAAATTAGGACAAAGCCATCAACCTTTTTATTTTTTAAATCATCCGGTCAGCCAGTCTGTAAATGAATTATCAATTTCTGAATACTTTGTTAATTCATTGGTAAGGGTAATTTAATCCTTGTAGGGCTTTAGTAATTGTCCTATCAGAAGCTATGCTATTGGAAATGTGTACTATCTTTCTCCAAGCATAATATATAATAGCACTTTTTTTGTTAGCCTCATATCAAGTGCTATTCCCAAGCAATTTGGTAGCATCCTGCTGGTTAAACACACTTTTAAAGTGTTCCTGTTATAATTGATAAATCTTTGTTGTTATTTTATATTTTGGTTTATTGTTGACCACCAGACTGTAGTTTTTTTGACTTTGAATCTGTAGCTATTTGAATTTTAGCCTTAAATTTGTTAGAATTCCCCTGGGAACTCCTACAGCATCAGTATTGACATCTTAGCCCTGGGATTAGTTTTGCTAAGAGGAGGAGAATGGAAGACTAGGGTAAATGGTATGACCAATTGAACAGGCACACAGGTCCATAGCAATCAAGTGGTAGTCTTGAGTAAAGGTTCCCTGTGGAGTTCACCATATGTCAGCTTGGGAAACATTGATTACAGAATAATAGCTTTTTGTCCCTCTGTTGTCTGAGACATTCAGGATGTGGGCACAGGTTCCAAATTCCCCTACAGGACAAGAGAATCCATCCTATTGTGGGAGACTTGAGGAGTAATTTACCCTTCTTAAGGAGGAAGTTATAGTGGGGGGCCTGCCTATACAGCCAGGAACAGGAACAACACACTTTAGCAGGTCTTTTTTTTCCCCATACATTCTTATCCTGAAACAAGGCTAAGGAACTTATTCATGTGGGGTCTGTGTCTCAACCAGTCACTTTTTTTTTTTTTTTTTTTTTTTTTTTTTTTTGATCTTCTTGAGATGGTCTCCCTGTAGCCCCAGCTGGCCTAGACCTCACTATGTGGACCAGGGTGGCCTTGAACTCACAGAGATCCCCCTGCCTCTGCCTCTGCCTCCCAAGTGCTGGGATCAAAGGGGTGCACCACCACACCCAGCTCATAACGATCACTTTTATTGAGTGTATGTACTATAAATTTAACCCTTTTACCCAAACATTTTATTTTCTGTATCCAGGTTTTTGCTTCTAAGGTCTGTATCAAATCCATGATTTTAACTTTATTTTATATAATTTCCGCAATATAAAATTTGGCAGGCATCAAATTTTATAGTAAGGGGTGGTGAAGTTTCAGTTATACCAGTCACTAAGTTAATAGGAAAAGAACATGAAATCATTTTCTCACTATTTCTCTATCCTAATTGAAAATGCTCTATTTCCCTAACCCTAACCCTACATACATTAGACTCCAGAGGTGGAGATGGGAGATCCCATCTGGAAACCTGGAGTTTTAAGGCTAGATTGTTCAATAGCAATTTTCTGGACATTTTTTCCATCCTGTTTGAAAGCACTCTTTCTTATATAATAGTAATTTACCTCACATTCATTAGACTCCAGAGATAAAGCCAACTAGGGGTGTTCCCATCAAGAAATGGGGAGTGTTAAGGCTTGATTTGTCTCTTGAATCAAGTATAGTAAGTCTGTCCCCTTTTAGCAGTTTATACACTTGTCTTGATGGTCAGGAGCATTTGATAAGAACCTTCTCAGCTGGGCTGGAGCTTGTCTTTTATCAGCACTAACTCTTAGACTAGAACTGATGAATTATATATTTTAAAGGTAGACCTTGGGTAAGAAGTCCCTGGTCCTGAGGGATGATAAGATGGAAAAGATATCCAGCATACAATTTCTTAAAAATTGATGCTTGTTTCCATACTGGGGAGGTCTGTGGACTTAACTAAAATAGGATGCCATGCAACTTTTCATGTGGAGATAGGCCCACATCCTTTCTTGGATTTTTTTTTTTTTTTTTTTTTTTTTAGGAGCTTTTTAAAATTGTTATTTGCCTTCTTTTTATAGGGAGAATGGAAAGGAATTAGGCTAGCCTTTCCTTTTGACTCTACTTCCAATTTTAGTTATTTAAAATTAACTCTCTTGCCTGAGCACTCATGGCACAAAGCCTCCAAACTGAACTATTAAAATCTCATCTATTCATTGTATTATTATTTAAAGCAAATAGATTAGAAATGAAGGACCCAGATTAGATTTTTCATTCTAGACGCTTTAACCATGGCTTTTTTTAATTGCAAGTGTTGGGGTGCCTTTGAAAAAGTATGTTTCTTAATTCTCTGATTTCCCTTTACATGTATGCTAAGGACACTTGCCTATAATATGTTATTCCCATTTATCATTAGCCGTCTTC